TGACTTGAAAGAACAGCTGATTGATAAGGGCGAGAGGCAGGCGAAAGTGTTGCAAACAAGATTCAAAGGAATTGCAAGAAGAAGATGGCGCTCTTTTTGGTTATATGATATAATTATTTATTTTTTCTACAGATATATCAAGAATCTGAACAAGGAAAACCCTTATTATGATAAAAAGCATGTTTTTTTGACAGAAAATGAATTTTCTGATCCTTCTGCTTGACGTAAATTGTGTGGTAGACGCGACGTAATTTCACAGACGCCGTCGACAAAGGTGCCGGCATCTGGACGTGGTAGGGGCACGTCCACATGCCAGCAGGTTGCACTCCACCAAAAACACACTATTTCGTGCACTCTCTGACCTGCCTGGCAGGCTGAGGGCGAGATGGCATCTCAAATTTCGACGAAAAGAGATCGTGAACCTGCCGGCAGGTTTACACTTTCAATGCAAACGAGGGCATTTCTTGGATTTTCTTTCAATTCCCATACTATTTCGACAGCAAACCAGACCGTAACACAAAAAAATAGATGATCAGCCTGGGTTGGGGGTCTCCGGAGGGAGTTTGAGATTTTAGGGACTTCAAGTCCACATCAGGGCGAGCTGAGGATATGAGATGCCGGCATGTAGGGTGGATTACTACGGGCCCAGGTGGCTCAAATGCCACCCAACTCAGGTATGCCACGCCTCCAATATACAAAACTTTTCCATAATCCTTCATAAATTGTTTCGATTTCGCATTACAAGCCTGCACACTAAATTTGGGGTCATGTCACTTCCTCCTCGCTGTAAACGAGCCTTTTATTAAATTCGGTGCACACTTTTCAGTTCCCGCGCTTGCAGCAAGAGCAGATTCTGTGGGTTTTGCAAAAAGTGGACTTGAGAACAATTGGGATATGTATAGGCAATTCGTAGCACGCAAAGAGTGCGGACATATTGGCGTCTCACTGACCAAGCGCTCTTTCGTTTTTCCTACCATCTGCTGTCTCTCCCATGCACAAACTATCTTGGCCGGACGCAATGGCTCCCAGTCTTCGCGTGTCATGAATCGTGTATATGTATATGGTTCATGTGGTAATAGCGAAGGTATACGTTTGTTATTGTAAACTGAAAGGCTATGGAAATTTGTTGGATTGATGGGCGTATAAATGTCAAACCCCTTGAAATTTTTTATTCAGTTGATCTTATTCAAGAAAATCAGCTTTAAATCACCTTGCGTACCCAAAAGTTTTGTGAAAATTCTTTCATCAGTGCCACGCTTCAATTTGCACGAAGAGATTGACAATAACTTCCAAGTTCCACTTTCTTCAAACCTGGGCATTGTTCGTATTGACGAAGTATTCTGTGCCAAACAGGTTTGTTAGGTGATCTTTACTAATCCAATCGAGGCCTAAAGTTTCGACGTTTTCGTCTTCCTCAGAATGGAGACAGGAAGACCATTAGGCACTCACATAAACGAACAGATGGCAGATAAAAGGCGTATGGTGAAGATGATTTTGATATCAGATGTAAAATATTGACGAAAAGGAAACCTTGGTTAGGAAAGCGTTAGGAGCGGGAAATCCAGCTATGAACAACAAAAATGAGTGCCTGTCCATAACCTCCGACTTCCTTCCCTTCATATCGTTATGCAATCTGTAGATGACATCCGATGGTCATCTATGGTGAAATCCATTCTTCCGCCGTGACCATCATTTCCGGTGCAGAAACTCGCATAGTGGTGATCTGTCGATATCATCTTTCGCCCTGACTTTTTGCAATAGGGAAGTCAGGCGAAAGTCGAGAACTAGCAGGATTAGGAAGGGTATTTGATGGCGTGGAGCTACAAATGACACTTTGAGCCATTTTCAGAACTCTGAGGAAGACGAAGGCGTCTAAACTTTAGGCTTCGATTGGATTAATACATTGACGACCAAAGCCTTTCTCGGACCAGCCAACATTTTTCAGTTAAAATCACGCACAACTCTATCTACAGTACACCTACAGTAGCGTTGGAATGCTCGCAACAACAGTAGCCGTTGTATGTAGATTTAGCATAAATGAAAACTCCCAGAGTTGGTTTGAAACAAATTAGTAGCCATTCCAATGAGAGTCATGGTGTGTCAGGCCTTGACACACCATGTGTGTCAAGCGGTCGTCAACGTATTAACAAAGATCACCCAACAAACCTGTTTGGCACACAATACTTTGTCAATACAATGACAATTTTTTCATTTATAGCATACTTAACCGATAGCTTAGCTCACGCAAAAATGGTTTCCTTTGGTTCTTACCAACAAAACTGGCTGTTTTAATATTAATGACTTTCTAGCGACTTCACAGGACTCTTTGAAACTGGCAGATGTATCATAAAGCAGAAAGATGATTTCTCTCTAGAACACCAGAATTGTGGAGAACATGCACTATAGAATATATGCAGTTTTTTACAGATTGGACTCAAATCTTTGTACGCTCAGTTGTTTCTTCGCTTGTCAAAATTACATTCAGATTGGGTTTTTCAGGTTAGCTTATCTAACTTGTTGAAGATGACAGTCTGTGTACAGCAGAGAGACAAAATCTGCAAATTTATTTTAGAAAAACTTTCCACCAAAATTGGTTATTACTTTCTTATGCTTTACCTTTGTATAAATTTGAGGTCTATTTGCGACAGCTGCAAAAGTCAAACCGGTCTTCATAAGGTTGATGGAAGAAAAACATGTTAAACGTATTCTAAAATCTAACCTGCATCGACCACTTTCTATAACCTTTGAAAGGCAATCGTCTGATGCAAAAAAACTACAAGAATCACCTAGGTATCATGGCGAGACATGGACCAGCATCTACGGGCATGAGCACCATCTGAAATGTTTGACTCGCCCTCATATCAGAATGTGTTCAATATAGGAAGAAACCTTCAGTTTCTGATGTAGTTGGTTCAGCACCTTGACGCACATAATTCAATGTACAACAAGCCAAACACTGAAAATTATTCTCGCATCCCTTGCAGCCTCCGTAATTCAATGCAACACATTTCTTTTGCTCACCATCGTAAGCGTAACTGTAAGAATATGAAAAGGTTCAGTAGTTTTTTGTGGGTGCCAAGAATAACGATGCTCTGCCAACTGCTAGCTGCCAGTTGCCAGTTGCTGTTAATTTAAAGCACCCTCATTTTTTCATAAAAGAAAAAGTCTCTATTTTATTTCCTTTCATTATTTTATTTCTTCACTGGCCACAGAGGCCTACATGTTTGACACGATGAACTAAGCTCAAGAAAGCCAGCGCGTTTTTGTCCTAACTGTTAATTGTTGCCATCCAAAAGAATATCAAAATCCATATCTTATAGCAAGGATGAGGAAAAATAACATTTGGGCACATGCTCCTACAAACCGCCTGCTTAAGTTCGTTTCTGGCTGAGGCGTGCCACCTGTGTATTGCTGTGACGCTCAGACATTTACGGCTCTACTATTGACGGCTGTCGCTATCCTCATTTCTATCTGCATTGCAACTACATTACTAGTAAAGATCCTGTCATTAATAGTTTTTGGATTTATTTTAATGCTAGCGCTTATCAGGGTTGTTTCAGACTGCCGCATTGACCGCAGCAGACTGCAGCAGATTGCACAACCGCAGACCCACCTGCGGCAGTCTGAAACAACCCTTACATACTGCGTAACGTACGCTATGGCACTCCCAGCGCTCGCAACGCCAGAATGATCTATGTTTGTCAATATGTTCTTGAAAAGGAAGGTAATCTATTTCGGATCTGTATGCTGCATCCTGATTGCTCGAAGTGCACTGTGCCTCTTGGTACTTTCAACACTAGGCCTTGAATAAGAAGATGCGAGAGGAAGAGAAGCCCAGACAAAGCAATGCCTTTGGGTTTGCTCGCCTTTGGAGTAAATTGAGTTTGTGTTATACACCTGTGGCCGTATTCATCAACGAAAACCCAGTGGGTTCCGGAACCCAGTTTAGTGCTTTTGATGAATATCGATGTAGAATCGATATTCATCAAAACCACTAAATGGGTTTCGGAACCCACTGGGTTGTTCGTTGATGAATACGGCCACTGAAGATAGGGTGGTTATAATAACGTTGAGTCATATTACTGACAAGGGAATGGTCAGAGGTCGAAGTGGCCAATCCATACAACTGCATACTATTCAACGCAGCATAAAATGCTGATTTCAAATCTGTCCCCATATCCGCAGAGCGCCTTTGTAGGCGAATTTATGAGCAGCTTTACCGCGAAAAAGCCTCATACAAAAGTTGCAATATTAGGCACATTATTGCTCTTCCAGTTCACCTCTAGGTACGGTCATAAGAAGTGACCAAGTTGCATGTTCTGTGGCCGTATTCATCAACGAAAACCCAGTGGGTTCCGGAACCCAGTTTAGTGCTTTTGATGAATATCGATGTAGAATCGATATTCATCAAAACCACTAAATGGGTTTCGGAACCCACTGGGTTGTTCGTTGATGAATACGGCCACTGGTCCAACGCTGAGCCAAGAATGGCTTCGTACGGCCAAGTTTGCACTTTACACGCACAATTTCTTAGCAGAATAATGGCATTCAACGGCTTATAATTTCGTCCACAAAAGCGCCCTGCAGATAGGGAAGACAGATTTAGAATCAGCGTTTTATGCTGCATCTAATGGTATGCAGCTTGTATGGATTGGCCACTTCGACTCCTGGCCATTACCTCGTGAGATAAAACGAGCGTGCAGCGTAACGGTTTGCTGCAAAAAGTCGTACGCTGCGATTTCAGCACACGACGCTTACCTCAGGCAGCTTAAAACAGCAATGCACTTTCGGCGAAGAATTCAGCGTTCTACTCTGCTTGTTGATTCGTTATTTGAGAGACTGTTATGTAACGAAGCTGCATGTACAGACAACTTACCGAGTTATCTGCGCTCTGCAGAGACCAGCTGTTATGGGAAGTGCGCAAATGTCTAAATCGCGTTTATTCATTATTTCACAGTGTGTAGTCAGTGAGAAGTATCGAATATGAATTACTTTACCTTCTACAAAAGGATCATTACACACTTCGCGACATTCCGCGATAGTCTCAAACATGTTGTTATTTCCACCGCAGCCGCCGTAAGTAAATTCTCAGCACTTTTTAGTGACAGTATCGTACCCATAGCTGCAAGTGGCAGATATCTTTGAAGAAGTAGGGATTAAGGCAAAGAAGTTACCGTTTTAAGTTACCCTCACATGGTCCTTTCTCGAGAGGTTTTGTGCAGCGATCTGCAAGAGATTAAGGTTTCAAGACTTCAACCCCTTTCTTAAAAACATATTCTGAAAATTTTTCGAAAGCATATTGGGCATTTTGTGCTTTTATGAGCGGTTAGAAAATGAGCGAGGCGATCTTTATTAACTCAAGAATGACATCGAGACTATATCTCAAAATCTCTCCTTTTGCTTTCCTGCGCGAGTGAAAATAGTATACCCAGGATGTGCAAAAAAACTCTCTCAAGTCTTACTAGCACGTCTTGACATGTTGGTAGCTCTTTCTATGTTGCTGCGCCTCAAAGAGGTGTATTGCACATTGCAGTTAAAGAGAATTCGGTAATTACACGTATCCTCATCAAAATTGCACTTCTCTTCTTCCATCTGATGACTTTAGTATCTTGATCCGGAGAACTTCTCGAGAACTGCTTTAATTTAGCTGGGTTGTTTTCTTTCAATGGTTCAAGCGTGCAAAGAAACATGCAAATGGATGACCAGAAATTCGTCTTTCACAAGGAAAACCAAGAAGCCTATATTGGCATTAGTGATAATGTAAATCCTAAACGGAAAATTTTCTCTTTTTGGTAAAAGTGAGCAACTTTGAAGGAAATTTAGTTGAAAGTAAAAAAAGCAAAAAGGTTTTGCTCAAAATAGCTGCCACTCGCATGCTAGTTTGATAGATTGACAAAACTGATGAAATCAACAGTTATTGGCTGAGCACCCTTGGGTCTCTCTAGCGTCAGTAAACAATGGTTGGAAGTGGACATGGTACCATGAGCTCGATAAAAGAAATGCTTCTCATTTCGTCAATGCATCACCTTCATTATTGTGCACAAGCGCTCAAAAATAAGCATAAGAAAATCGTTATTAGGCATCGAGGTAATTCAAGTGTATAATGTTTTCAATCAGACGAGAAAATGGGACCTTCTATTTAGGCAACTTGTCCATGCTTCTTCTTAAAATTTTCACTTCCGAGAGCGCGATTAATATTCGTACCTGGTGCACATTTTTTCTCGCATTGTTCTTTGGTCTCGAATTTATTGAGCTTTGGGCCACACTCGCTTTCTGTGTATCCAATGCCACCGGTAAATTTACTATGACCATACCTGAAAACAATTTATAATCAGTTTGCAAGAAGTGGCTGCTAAATGAATCATGACATATATGGTTCTTCAATCAAGACTAGATTTTCGCTGTAAACCAGCTTGACGATGGAGCTTAGAACGCGAAGATTTTGATAATTCGAATGTTGTGACCCATGGGATGTCATGAAAACATTAAATACTCTAGACGAGAATTGATAATATCAGGTCGTTCCGAAATTTCGCGCTGTTTTTTAGACCCATGTTCAAACCACATCAAATAAAGATAGGCAAAAGCTGCAAGCATTATTTGATGCAAAACGTCTTCCTCTTTCTGATGATTATGCTCTTGTTTAGATCCCCCCAATATCCTCTCAATAATCGGCATGGATCTCCAACCCATGATTTTCATCCCTCTTGAGTTTGATTTTTTGAAATCAGAACGATAAACGACTAGCAACCAGGTGTCATTCAATACAGTTTTTTCTCCTCTTTTTTTGATGGACTCTTTTTGTATAATATCTGAAGATAAAATTATTGTAAAATTATTGTTTAGAGACTCGTCCCAAGCTGTAACCAGAAAAATCTTAAATCCATAAATTTTGAACCGCTAAATGCTCAGCTGCTCGCTAGGATCAGCATCAAGTGATAAACTGTTTTTGAAATCCTCAAATTGTACTTGTATTGTATTGTAAACACTTATTTGTGCTTGAAGCGACTGTTTATTTCGCGCTCGCAAAAGTAAGAGCTTTTCGAAAAATTATTTCTAGGAATACTGAAAAGTTACTTGAGTAAGCCAAAACATTTCATTGCATTGCATTTTGTTTATCTATCTGACTGTTATCGAAGCTAGTCCAAAAGTTGAGAATGGAGATTTCAAGAAATAGCCAAACTTAAGAAAGGTGTAAGTCATGGGTTAGAGATCCCTGCCGGTTATCAAGGGGAATCTGAACAAAAACATTACCATTAGAAAGAGGAGGAAAGTCTGCATCGGAATGTGCCTACAGCGTCTTCTATCTTTATTTTAAGTGATTTAAGCTTTGCTTGAAAAAATCGCGAACTTTCGGACCGGCTAAAACTTCCTCAACTTTGATTCGTTTTGTTGAATCTTTAATCTAACCAGCGGAGTATTTATATCCAAGAATGTTCACCTTGTCCTTCTTGGGCTTAGTTCTGTGCAGTTACCAAAGTTGAGCTCCTCCAAACACTCATCGGATAAGGCTAGAGCTGAAAAACTATGCTAAAATCGAAAACAAAATATGCCAGCTTACCCGATACAGCTCAAAGCAAAGCCACAAGCAAACCCTTCATTTTGAAAAAAATGAACACGAGCGTTCATATGTATCTTAGGAACAAATTTTTATACTTTATGAGAGCTTTTGTGAGAAAAAACAAGTTGCATAGGATGCCTAATCGGCAATTCGTAGCTGAAGGCGTCTTAGAAAAATTAATTGCTTTAATACTTCATTTTCTTGCAAAAACAAAAGAAGAGTAAGCTTGCCCTAGCTTAAAAACATTTTTCAGAAAATTTCTCAGATTATAATATGCAAGACGGTCAGAAGGCGCGATTTTTCTCCTGCTGTCATCAACTCAAGTTCAGTTTTAGCTTAGTGTATGCGAGTATTCAAATAACATATAGAAAGTTGGTCACTATCTGTTTGAAGTTGTGATTTGCTGAGTCTGATGGGTTTTGTTTCGAGATGACCGAAATATATATTTCGCTTTTAGTTTCATTTTCGTGAATTTTGATCTTTAACATTCGTGTTTTGTTGAGATAATAAGACTGAACAATCATGCAACTTTCAAATATAATCCCTTTGAAGTTCTGAATATTCTACAACGGTAAGGTAGCTACTTAATGTCTTCGACTTCCACCCACGTGATAGATGCCAGTAAGAAGATGATGTGTTCTATGGTAAAAACTGTGGCAAAAGTTAGCTTTTGCACAAAAGTGGAGTTGCAAATACGAACAAAACTTTTGAAAATCGTAAACTTGGTTGGTTGGTCTGATCGATGATGGTTCAAAACCTATGAGGTGTAAGGTTATTTATTGTCAGCAGAGAACTTTGAAAAACGACACTCATCAGAAATCCTTGAGTAATCTTATTTTTTCGATAACTTGGGCATCAGAGATTGTGTGATTGCTCCTCGCAACATTTTTAGGCTTTGCTCACTCAGAAGAGGACTTTTCACTTCAATAAAACAGCATTATGAATGAACCACGCAAGAAGACTTGCAGATCTACAAATCCAGAATTCTCATGACGCAATCATCAAAAGAAAAGAAGTATCAACTAACATAGTATCTAATCGTTTTATTCCTGGACATTTTTATGAAATCATCATGGCGAAAAAAGGTCGTAATCATCCAAAGAAAAAGGAGAAATAAAAAGGGAACTAGCCTCACCCAGTCGAACGTTTAACGAGTTCGTAGTTTGTGTGGTCCTAACAATGACATTGGGTAAATAACCCATCAAAAAATTCTTCGATTCTTATATTCTATTCAGAGTTACATAAGCAAATAAAAATTGTGAGCCTGATACTAGGAATTGAATACGCAGATATGAGTAAAGAAAGAGATTGTGGAAAATATTAGTCTACTAAAAAGTCTATGTTCCACCAATGGCACTGCATCATGCTTCGAAGAACCATGTCGCATGTGTTCCAATTATCTTCTTCATACACGAAGGAAGGACAAGCGAGTCCAAGAAGAGCTCATCTTTGAAAAAAGTTATATCAAGCAGAGTATGTGAAAAGCGCCGTAGCGGTGCCATTGTTGACAACGCAGCTTTTCGCCGTTATATTTTTACAATAGTGTGAATGAATAAAGAAATACTTCAGGAGGAGTAGATTGTGTCAACAACTATCAACTTCAATCGGCGTTGTCTAAGTGGAGACAATAATTTGGAAAATGTGATGATGCTGCCTCCCAGACAAATTTCTATCTCATGATAGACTGGGTTATGACGCGGGTATACCTTAGGCGATTTCGGTCGCCACGCGATCGGCAATTTGCCAGATGTCTTCAAATTCAATACTGGCAGATCCCAAATGCAGAGCATGCATAACTTTTGTAGGTTGATAAAATGCCTATCTTCCGTATATTTAAAAACTCCTTACGATAAGTTATGAGCAAGTGGAGTATTGACAAATCGTGTCGCGACTGAAATTCGCGTGAGGTATGCCCAGGGTCTTTCGTTCAATATCCAGTAAGGCATGAGGGCCACTGAAAACCGTTCCCGTTGTTACTGCAACAATCCTTCATTCTCCATGCAAAGAGAAAGCCACTTCAGCTTGTGGTCGTGTTTATCTCTTTTGTTTAGAATCACATGACCAGCAATTCATTTCCTCTTTTGTATGCATCACACCGTGAGTGTACTTTGACATTGTGAGAGGGATTACCACATCATTCCAGAGTTTGATATTTTTGTCACTTAGTCTGCTCAGACCTCTTCTAGAATTCTGTGAATAATTTACGGTACTAGACAACGACAAGCATGGTCCCGTGCGAATTATCCAAATCCGATTTTTGCCCTTTTTAGCAATGAAAAGGCTTTCATTTGGCAATACGTAATTGAACAGACTGGCGGCTCTACTAGTGTGCCAGAATATTACTCTAAACTGCGTTATCACAAACTACATGTGCACTGTCGTGTCCTTTCATGGAAACGTGGGTTTCGAAGCTTCCGCAAAACGCCCGCGCAAGGTTACCACTTTGAGGAATGCCTCTTAACACAAAGTGTACAGGATATCGCAAGAAAGCTATGTGCGACTCAAATACCTTTGCTCAGGTATCTTCCGCCAATCTTTGAGTACCATTTTTGAAACTATCTTAAAATGAATTTACAGTTTGAAGGGAAGCATTGACGCTTTTCGTTACTGTAAGATTACGGTAGGAATTTGCAGCATCTAGCATACTTGCAGTAGCTACAGTTTGAGTTCTTTTAGCCACCAACAGCCATTTTTTAACTGAAACCTTTCGTATGGGTTTGAGAGGTGTGATTCTAGCAAATATATCACACAAATTTGTAAAGCAGTTAAGAGAGCAGGTACTGGTAAAGTTTGCTTTTTTTAATCACCTGGCGCTTTTGTACAGAGGCTTACGGTGAGTGCATTTTAATTTTTGATTTTTGCGCCTTCAATACATTCGGTAGCGAAAACTTCAACTATTTCAATACTTATGAGGCAAGACTTATTCTCATTGCTAAAGAGCAATCGCTGATTTCTTCTAAACAAATCTGAGTTGCAATTTTTGCGGAGTACCTCTCAAACGAAATTTTTGCTAATTAAAACTTGGCGAACGACAGCGATACAGAGAGATATTCTGAATAGAACCCTAGGGACGTTTTTCGGAACACGCGTAAATCGCAGAAGGTACTCGATAGCAAAAGAAAAATCATGTAAAGAAAGGGTGTAATGGATTTTTTGTTTCTCGACTACCAGGAGGCATATTTGTTGGCTTATAGAAAATATTGCCGTGATTTTTTCCGTAACGTAGACTCTCAAACTTTCGTATACAGCAAAACAAAGGTTATAATGTCATAGCCAAACCATATCAGCTTGTAATATGTACGGCAAAAGAAGAATATTGAAATCACCTCAAATTAATTTTGGTTTCATTTTACAAGTGAACGCTTCAAAATTTTACACCTTCAATAATGTACAGAGAGTAAATCGGTATAAAATGCAACACACAGCAGTTTACTACCATAACGATTTGTAAAATGCTATTATACATTAAAACCACAGCATATGAAGATTCAACTGATAATTCATAATCAAATTACCCTATTTTCAGGTGTATAAGCCGCGGGGTGGTCATAGTTTACATCGACCAGCACGAACACATCAAAGGAACTCGCAACTAAGGGACGCTATACCGTGTTGTGTATTGGCTGAAAGAATCGTGAGGCAGAAGGATCGCTTCCCGAAACACAATAAAGCGGCAGCTCGCTCTTGAAGAATTGAAAAAAGTGCGGCTTAAACACCTGAGAATAGGGTAGTTTTATGACAAGACAGATCGACAATACTCAAATAACCATTAACTTTCCATATTACAGCGTATGTACAAAAACGTAAGAGAAGATTCATTCTGCTCTAAGGCGCTTTTTTCCAGAGTGACAGTCATCTAACGTTTTCAGCTCACAGACTTCTTTGCACTTGTCGTAGCTTCCAAATCCGAATCTCCCACACACTAAGTAGGCGTCGCACTTAAACGTGCGGATGTCGAAGAAGTAGCGGACACTGAAGTTAACTTAATATTGAGCTACTCAAACTTCTATACTTGTTTTTGCGTTTTTTTACACCTATTCTACATAATCTGTATCAAGGCTTCGTTACCCACTGAATACGCACATAAATGATGCAGAATCAGATGCTTAATTGTTTGAATTGAATTTTCGCATGCTCAAGTAATAAGGTGCCAAATCCGTCAGAACAAAAATTAGTAAACAATTGCGCGTTGCAGTTTCTCAACTTTAGACATGATTTTAAGTTGGAATCTTGAAACATATTCAGGAGAGTTTTGCGCTGGGTTTAATTAGCTACCGATCACGCCTAAATTTGAACGCATTGAAAATCTTTGTCACACTCATACAGCAAAGATTGAGTAGCGCGTAAGTGAAGCAAACTAACAGTATCTATCATTTTATCCTGATTTCTGGCTAGGCAATCTCTATTGTTAAAAATGTTTGCTCTCACAAAACTTGATTTTTAGCATCACTTTAGCTCATGCGCCCGTTAACTCGAAGGTCATTTGTTGCGCTATGAAGCTTGACGAATCGCTTAATTAGAGTTCAGCGTTGATCAAAGGTTAAATGCCCATTGAAAAATTCAGAGGTTAGGCCCGTATGCGCGTACATCCTCTCAGTGGAATGGAAAGAGCTGTGAAGGAACGCCTCATATCTCGATTTTCTAAGAATCTGTGCCCTTCTTGTCCTAGCCATGTTGGAGGCTCATCTACACTGATACCTTAGCGCAGTGAAGAACAGTGCATGGTTATGTTAGCTAAATTTTTTCAAGGTTTTGTGCGATCCCCTTGGATTCCCATGAAATCGCCGTGGTTTCTAAAAGTCACTATCTTTCTTCAAACTCAATAAAGTTGTAGAGGTTGAGCTAAGGATCATGATTGTTCTACGCAAGCTTTTTCCAACTTGAATTTCTTCGATTAACCTCGACTAGCAAGTAGTGGCTCATTAAAGAATTCGAATTACTTCTCCAAAATTCGAGTTACTTCTCCCTTCGCCCATCATGCATACACTGTCACACTAGATTTTCAATACAACTTTAGGATGTTTTTGATTGTGGAAAGATAAGTCATTTGGAAAGG